CATTAGTTGAAAAAAAAGGCGCCAATGAGAAAAATAAAATTTAGGCAAAAACCACGTTGATTATGTCGACGCCAAAAAAGAAGCGAAGATGTAATTATAAGGAACCCGCTGTCGGATTCACCGACAAATTTTGCATGTGGCGCCCAATTTTTATCCAATTTGGTTCAGCGCGGAGCAAGCACCAGATTTTCTAATGATTTTTGACAGCGCAAACTCGCCCCGTTGCTTTTTGATGACCATCCAAAACTAGCGTTTTGCTGCAGTCCCGGCCACAATAATCAGAATGTATGCTGCTTCGATTCCATTTTTTGGTAAATGTGGTAACAACCAGTGTTTGAATTTGTAGTAACACCTGATGAAAGTGCTTGTTTGAGGGTATTATGAGTTCTACGTCCTCTCGCGAGAAATAATGGCCAAGCCACCATAAAAATCACGTTTTTTCTATATATAATCTGCTCATTTTTTGCCAATTAGTAATACTATTATGTCGACAGTAAAAGTTGTATGAGCCGGCGAAATTAGAGAAGCCGCAATGTTTAAATAAAATATCCGAATCGAGCTGTATTAAAATACGTTTATCATATTCAATATTAGAAAACCAAATGATCACTATAGTGTCTAAGTTTAGGGAAAATACTTTTCGTCCATCGCTTGCCACTGGAAAATTATAATAATACTTACTCTTACATCCTGGACAGACTTTATAAAATAGAGCACCTTCTTCCGAAGATTTGTCAATATAATATACATTTATGTCTTTGTAGGGAGTTGGATCGCTTAATTTAATATCGGAGCATTTCAGGCTATTACAATGAGTCGCAGATGGAACGAAGCTATTCATGAGCGATGCCACGTGATTTTGATATCTTGTCGAGCAGTATTGTTCAATTTCCTTGCGAATATTTTTTGTCACTTTTTCCTCCGATGTTGTCATTGAAAAGAGGTAATAAAACTTTCCAGTTATCTAACATAACATTAATTTCTGTCACCTTTAGTTGTAACTTGTACAACCGATTCATCAAGGCAGTTATATGCTCATTTCTTTTCGGCGCATGTTTGCTGATTATGTTATCTAGTCATTTTAGTGTTGAGGCTTGTTCGATCGATGCCAATGAAAGAATTCTGTTTTCAAACGAACTGCCGCGATTCATCGTTTCGTTTTACGGCTAAAAATCACAGTTATATATTCTATTTTTATAACTTTAAAGAAGTTCTCAAATATAGATAAAAAATTTCACTTACTCCAGAGGAATGTAACTTCGAAGTACCAAGATAGTATAAATAAATGGGATATTATGACCAGCTTAAAAATTTGCAATAAAGAAAATTTTTTCGTTTACTGACAGATGATACCCGTCTCTACCATTCTCGTATGTATCCGCAAGTGAAGAAAAGAGCATAGACAGTATGTCATTATCTTTGAAATAAACGGTCTACTCTTTACTCTGAAGCATTATAACCATCTTCCTCACATAGTCATTTCACTCATATATCTGTCCGTTTTGGTCTGGTGAACAACTATTACAACCGAATATATTTATTCACAGAAATTTGGTTACTAATATCACTTTTAAACTTTTTTCAACATTGAAAAGTTGGCTACGTATATTTTGTGAGTATCATCATTTTCGCATAAAGTCAAAAAATTAATTTCGATTACAACGTTATCTATCTATACATTAAAGTTTTCTAAAGCAATTCTTAATATTAATTACCATATTCGCGTCAGTACTAAAAACCTACACAGTGTAACTTTATAACTGTGATCTAAGTTGATATGTCGAATAAAGGATTATCTCGCGACCAAATACGTACTATCATGCGTAAAGCCGCAGCTATATAACAGTACCAATTGAACAGATCTTTGATCCTGTTACGTCCGATATCATCAAAAATGTGTACTCTGCATATCAACTTCCATACGAATACGTATTTACATTGCTTCTTCCTGCAATAGGTCATCATATGAATACATCTTAGGTTATGAGTAACGCTGATATTCCAACCAATGTTAGTTTTTTCTCAGCTATTATTGGGTATCCTGGCTCGAACAAAACTACTGCTGTTGATTTAATCAGAAATAGTTGCTTGGAAATAGAAGAAGCGCTGAACGTAACACCAGACAAATCTCGCATTAACAGCAGTGCTACAATCGAAAGTCTACTTCACGAACTGAAAAATCCCCATCCACGCTTGATACAATTGTGGAATGAATTGGCAACTCTAATGCAGTCGTTTGGTCTCTACAAAGGTGGCGCCGGGTCTTATGATAGATCGATCATATGCACCCTTTACAATACAAACCACATTGTAAGAAGACAAACCTTCAAGTCACCATCAGTCGCCATAATAGATCCCGTGTTAAATATCGGTTCAGGCGGACATCCAGGCGATATATTTGATTCTGTTGTTGCGGATAGCGAAGGTGATGGCTTTTTAGGCCGCTTCTTATTCTGTGCTCTGAAGCCGAATATACCTCTTCCAGCAGAAATTACATTATGAGATGTTAATGAACCAAGTTTAGTTCATTTATTGTATGCCCTACATTTGCTGAATACAGACCAGGATGAATCAAAACGAATAATTTATCAATATTCTGAAGAAGCGTTGGAGATGATAAATGAAAAATGGGATGAATATACATTAATCGTCTGAGAAGCCATTGAATACGATTCATTTTTAACTTCGATCTATGCTAAAGCAAGTTTAAATAAACCGTCTCGCTGGTGCTTTACATAATGTTCGTATTGCCGGTATGATACTTGAAATAGTTCGTGATCAACAGCAAGGATTATCCTATCATGATTTCAAAAAAGACACCATGGAACGTATAAAATCCGCAGTGGGAGAATTCAAAAGAAATGAAAGATTCGAAACAATATCATCAGTAACAGCTCAATCGTCTCTAGCTCTAATGGATTATTACATCTGCCAGAAGAAAATCTATGCTAACAGAAAGATAGAAGAAACACTGAATTACCTTAAGAAATACTTTATTTTTCAGAGATCTTCTCGTAAAGTTTCTATTTTTCATAAAGATCGCTACATAAGAACCATCGACATTAAGATAAATTGTTTGTTGAATTTTTATGTTCCTGTATTTGAACTGTCTCTTTTTATACGCGAATGTCGTTGAGAAATGTTCCTTACTTAAAAATTAAATTAATGTTATTACAGCTCGGGGAGAGCATACCAGGTTACGAGGTAATTCGGCGCCGTTCATATTCACACCTCAGCTTACCACCTTAATAACACTAACGTGTTCTTTTGTTTTATTAGGCTTTTATACAATAGTTAGAAATTGTTTACATGTAAACTAATTAATTAGATAATTAATAATGTCACTGTAAATCTTATTGATATCTTTCTCTTTGCGTGAGATGAATAAACAACGTCTTTGTTGATTCGATGCACTTCAGATGCACACGATATCTGCACTATTGAACTGTTTGTTCTGGTTACATTCTAATAATATTCAAAAGTTTCTTTTTCTCAAGAAAACGAGATAACCCTCCCTAAGAAAGTGAATTTTTAGTCGCCGGTTCGAATCCTGCACGGATCTTTTTGATTTTTTCCTAAATTTCTTTTCCACAGAAATCGGAAAGACCCATTTGAGATAAATATGGCATACCACCAAATGGACCATGGGCTACAAGATTCCGCAAACATTTCTCTGGCAACCCTTGGAAAAAAGGCGCCAAATTTCGATATGTTTCTGCTCTTGATGCACAGGAAGGAAGAAAAGTTTCAACTGCTCGCGCAATTACGTGTTGTATATGTTTCGGTTGAAGAAAGAAAAAAATTTCAACTGCTTGCGCAATTATCTGCTCTATATATTTCAGTTTTTGACTTTCTTTCGATTCAGTTGCATCTTGACCTGGGTATTCGGCGTGAACTGTTACGTCCAGGTAGTCTACTTTCGTACTAATTTCATAGGTTAGCGTTTGTTCGCTTGTCTCTGCGTATAGGTAAGTTTCTCGCATTACCTGTCTTTTCTCATATCGACTATTTAAAAACACTCTTTTTCAGATTATTCATTCTACAATTTATTTTAACGTGTTTAATTCATTATTAATCGGAAAATGGTAGCGGTTACTCGTGCTGCGGCAGCACGTCAACAGCAATCATCAAAGGTAACTAGTACAGTTGTACTAGGTGCTGTAAGAAAAAGGTGTGTTAAAAAGAAGAAAAAAATAGTTGGACAATCTACATCATCATCTGCTCCTTCGTCGTCATTGCAATCATATAACGAGGTCGCAGGCAAAAGTAATATTACTGATGCTAGTAGATACGATCGTTACGGTAATCCAACAGGAAGAGAATATGATTTGGGCCGAGATGGGGCATTTATGGGGTTTAATATTTTGATTGCACAATTCTATAGCGGCTTTCAGTTCAATGACGCAGCTATGCAAGTACCGATTGATGCGCTGAAGGTCAAAGGCTTCCAAGTGAAACACGTAAAAACTGAGAATGAATGTATAACAGAACTTGCTTCAAATCGTTATGAAACCGCATGGATTATTAGTACCAATCAAATTCAAAATTCAAAATTTATTTCAGCTTTAACAGCTTTTCATTCATCTGGTGGTGCTATTTTTTTATTTGCCGATAATACACCATACGTATGTCATGCATCTGAATTTCTTAAAACAAAATTTGGTATTACTGTCGAAGGAAATTATTATGGCGGAAAAACAATGACGTACAAAGAAAATGGTCATCAGAAAATCGGAAATTTCGGTCAACATGAAATTTTTACTGGAATCACAAATTTATTCGAAGGTATCACCATATGTCATCCAGTATATTCAACACCAGAAAGTCGCACGGCATTCGTCACTATAGCAACGGCTACTGATGATAATTCTAGTATTGCTGTATATGATCCACCTCCGACGTCAAGAGAAGGACGATTATGTTTAGATTGTGGTTTTACAAAATTATATATCAACTGGGATTCAGCAGGCACAGCTCGTTACATTGTTAACGCCAGCTGTTGGCTTTTACGAATTGAAAACCGTTGAAATAGAAGAAAAACCAGAACAAGAGATAATAAGATACAAATAATTTTTTTTTATTGACTATTTCTTATTCTCTTTAGTTTGATTCCCTTGTTTCATAAATACATGCACTCTTGGGAAGATAAACAATATGGTTACGATTGATTTTTTTCATTCAACAAACAAACAAAGAATATTGTTTATGAAACAAATTCTACAGAAAAAATACTTCGGATGCTTCTTAACTTAACACCTGAAGCAATGACGCACGTTTTTGATACATGGACAAACATTTACTTTCAACCGCGAGATCCTGATAAAGATGAAATTATTGAAAATTCTGGTGATGAAGACGAATCACGTTAAATAGAAAATAGTTCATATTCTTATGTTTTGTACTAATCCGAAATGCTACTGAGATCAAGTAGATCTTTTTTCGGATGAACTAGAACATACATACAAGCGATTTTACACCGAGGATACTCACAACTGTTTGATGCATTTCTCACTTTTGTGCATTATTATTTTGAGATCTTTGCATAGTAATGTGTAATCTCGAAATAACAACCGTGACACGGTAGTACCGCGAATACAAAAAACGACATTACTGCGAAGACTCGTTTATTGGAAAAGAAGAATAAATGAGCCTGGTTTGGTATTTTGTATATCATGCTTGGAAAACTGGGCGAAGTTATGTAGTTAATGGTC